GCTCAGGGTTGAGGCCAAGGACCCCCTCCCGACCCTCCTGCTGAGGGCGCCCCTCGGCTTTCCCGCGGCCCCAGGGCTCCTGCCGAACAGCCCCAGACTCAGTCCCCTCAAGTCGGGGACCCCCCCGCTCCTTCTAAGGAGGAGTGGACACCTGCCGCTGTCTCCCCCAAACGGGGAGTCTTCTCTGTGCCATCTCCTCACGCCCACACAGACGGCGGATTGCTGCACGATCCGGTTTGCCCTGTTCCTAACTCCAGAACCTTCTGACCTCCGCTAGTTCCTACTGGCTCCTGCCCCTCGCCCCGTCCACGCTCCCGGGGAGACATCCCTCCGCCCCACACAGCCTGGGCCTGGCTGGGGGCCTGCGGGCCGCTTCCGGACCACCTCCTCTCTTCGCCGCCCCTCCCTCTCTGTCTTCGGACCCTCGGTCCCCTTGTCACCTCTTGGAGCCCCCGCCTAACCAGGGGCCAGTGGGTACCCCCTACCAGAATGTGAGCCCCTTTAACCTGTAATGCTGTGGCTGGTCCTTGGTCCCTTCCATGCCATGGAGAACCAGGTGCTGGTGATTCGCATCAAGATTCCAAATAGTGGAGCGGTGGACTGGACAGTGCACTCCGGGCCGCAGCTACTCTTCAGGGACGTGCTGGTGAGTGCTAATCTCAGTGTGGCAGTCCCAGCGAGGGGGGCGCAGGGATTTGTGGGGTAGTCAGCACCTTGATCATTGAATCTTACCTTGGTGGCCTGAGCTAGTGGCCATGCTGGCCTCATGTTGGGGCAGTTTTATTGCTTTAGCCACAAACATCGATTATTTGCATGGACAGAAGTCTGATAAATGTGCAGGTCCCTGGGGGAGTAGAGGTGAATCGGGTTGAACCCCTGCCCTCAAAGAGCTCACAGACTGGACTGGGACATAACACATAGAAGCAACTAATTGGGATACAAAATGCTGAATCTAGAAGAGAGTTTTTCTCAAGTGTTTTGTGGAATGCCCCTGGCCAGAATCCAGCCATGTTTCTACTGAGTTCCCTGAACTTGGTGACTAGTGGGAAAGGGAAACAGGGCAACTCTAATCAATCATATTTCAGCAAACCTAAGATGTCATAGGTTTTAAGATATTGTATATACCACTAAGAAAGATTATCTGTGACATGCCACACATTGTACAAAACCCAGTTTCAGGGATGTTAAAATAGAAGGGGAAATGTGCATCTTAAGAGTCAAAAATATAGTCTGACTTTCATAATAAATATTTAGAATGTATTTCAGAGAAAATCATGGTGTGTTACAGTTGAGTATAACCTTGGAGGTGGCCTTTTGAGCCCTCTGATCTTTTTTTTGTTTGCAGATGGTTACGGAGAAGCAGAGAGGTGAAATGGCTTTTCCAAAGCCATGTTGCTTTTGAGTGGAAGAGTCAGTACCAGAACTCAGATTTCCTTACTTCGTGTTTATCCCCACACACTGCCGCGCCATGTCTTATCTTTTAGCGTTTACTTGAGACAGAGTGCATTGTGCCCATTTTTTGTACTGAATCACTGAGCTGTCAAAGGCAGAGCTGATGTGCCAAGGATTGCGTTGCAAGTACCAGAACTAGAGTGGTGCTTCCCTGCAGGATAAGGTGGACGTTTTGGGGAAGAGGAGGATCTGTGATGTGGTTGTTGATTGTGATAGGTTACTCAATCAAAATTTGATCCTTGTACCTTCAATTTGAGTTCTGGATGTTACTGAGCAACCAGACCACACGCATTTTTGGGTGTCTGGGCCAGGAGTGCAGAGGCTGGAGTAAACCAGCAGCCTCCAATCTTGTACACATATGCCATCCTTCTCTTTGTATCCAGAGCTCTCCACACACTCACACGCACGAGGATCTCGCTTCATGGTGAGGCCGGAACTCCTTGGCATGGTCCTCTAGGCACATCTGGATTGGCTGGTGCCTGTCTGGCACCAGTTTCATCTCTCACTACACCCCCTTGAGCATCCTGTGCTCCAGGTACGTAGAATTAACCTTGAGTTCTCTCAGGTGCCCAGGCCATCTCCAATTGGCCTCTTTCTTCAGTTGGACAACTCCTATCTGTCCTTCAAAGCCCAGCTTCACTTTTCCTCTGGGTTGGTTTGGTTACACGCCCCTCTTCTCTGTTCCTGCAGCCAAGTACATGGGTTTTGTGCTAATTTTGTCTGCCTTGTCCACTAGATTGTAAACTTCTGGAGGAGGTGCACACCTCTGTTTCCTCTCTGTTTCTGATGCTTCATGGGACCCTAAAATATTTGTGTAAGGGGAGCTTTAAAGAGGTTATATGCCGTTACGGTTTTGTGGACAGCATGACAGGTTTTGAATCAAGAAAGTTGAGTTTTAATTGCAAGCCATCCCACTAAATAGGCAAATCGTTCTACCTCTCCGAGTCTCAGTTTCCTTACTTGTAAATTAGGGATAATGAGACCTGCATCAAAGACTTGTAAGGAGTAAGTGAGATTGTGTCCCTGATGAGAAGAGACATGAGCTTTCTTGCACTTTACTCATTTGAGGCAACAAAAGGCAGTATTTTAAGTGGAATGGTACAGTGATGAAAAACACAAACTCTGGAGCCAGGCGGACTGGGTTTAGATTGCAAGCCTTACCAGGCTCATCTGGGCAAGTGTCTTCTGTATTTCAGTTTCTTCATCTGTTAGAAGGAAAAAAAAAGGTTTAGGGAATAAAAATAGTGCCTACCTCATTGAGTTCTGGGAACTCCTGGAGTTGATACTCATAAAGCACTCGCAGCAGCCTCACGTGGTAAGTGCTCTGTTGTTACGCAGCAGAAGGGCCACGGCCTGGCCTTCTGCTTCTCGTGCAAGCTCTCTTGTACCTTGGCTCACGGATGACTGGCCTAAAAGTAAACTTTGCACAAGTGGTCGCACCGTCTAGAGCATTCGCACGTGCTTGCTCAGGTAAACCCAGGTGGGGCTTGCTATGTCTGGCAGGCCTGATGAAGGGCTCTTGACAGCAGGTGCCATGCTGTCTGTCAAGTTCTTTGAACCGTGAGCTCAAATCCTGGAAGACTCCTGCCGTCTCTTCTCCAGGTTTACCTGATCTTGTCATCAAGAAATTGGCAAAAAACCAACAGGTGCATCTCAGCATCTTTGGCTTGGAACCTTAAAATTTAAAGCCAGGTGAAACCCGGAATGTTCCCCTGCATCTGAGATCACTCTCCTCACTCCAGTTTTCAAGTGAGGAAGCTTGAACCCCGGACGGGGAAAATGCCGAAGCCACACAGCTACTTTGTGGTGGAACCAGACGCAGAAGCCAGAAGCAGTCTGTAGTCCCCGAGTTAACTGTAGCTGAGGTGTTGTGGACTTGGAGTCAGCAGTTGAGGGCTCAGATCACAGCTCCATCAAGTGGCTCGGACTCCCTGGGGCAGGGCCCTGGGTTTCTCCAGCCCTGTGTCCTTCATCTGAATGATGAGGGACTGGCTGTGGTGTGAAGGAGGCCTCGCTGGTCTTCACGGGCAGAGGCGTTTGGGTTTTGCGTTTTTCAGCTTTCTGTGTTTCTCTTCTTCCTTGGTGACACAGCCCCCAGTCTGGGGAAGATTGTGCAGGAGCTCTTGCTGCTTGAATCCTCTCTCCCAGCTCCCAGCCCAGATTTCCCCTCATCTGTGAAGTTTCTGTCTAAACCAGGACTGTGCTTTTGCTGCCTCCTGAGTTACAAACTACTGTTCCCTCATTTATGTCTTTTGTCTGGCCCTTTTCTCGTACTGTAAGTGCTCTGAATAGTTAGTCTTTTAGGTTTGTCTTTACCCTTGTTACAGATTATAATCTTCCTAAAGTCAAGAATTTATGATCTTTATTCTCCTGGCACGTTGTAGCTGCTCATTTATGTTTTTGGCTTGCCATTTCTTTGATTTACTGCAAGGAAGGAGAAGAAAAGGATCAAGAAAAGATCATCATCAAGAGACATAAACTCCCATTTTCTTTTGAAACCTTCTTTAGGGTAACGCAAAATGTTGAGAATAAGACAGGGTCGTTTTGAAATAAATCATCACTTAAAATACAGCTAGCAAATACACATAAAATTAAATGTGCCTGCTTAGAAAAGACCAGTAGAGAGTGGTTTTCAAACTTTTTAGCCCTTTGTCGTTATGATAGCCCCACTTTATTTGCTTTAACAGAACAAGATGGTCGGTAGTGTTCATGTGATTCTCATGATTCTCTCAATCAGATTTACTTTTTCTTTCTCTTTTCCCTGACACTAGCTGTAAAGTAGGTGTGCCTCCTTGTTTATGTTGATGGGCAAAGGATGCTGTTGCAGCCCGGCAGGGTTTTCAGCTAGTTACTAGACATTTGCTGTTCGATGGGATCTGCTATTCACAAGTAGGAAGGATCCTAAGTTAGTTGGCTAATACTGTAGGGTTCACATCTCAAGATTGGTTGTCTGGGACAACCAGCTCAGTGGTAGAGTGTGTGCTTAGCATGCATGTGGTCCTGGTTCAAGTCCCAGTACCCCCTTCAAAAAAAAAAATAAATAAAAGATTGGTTGTCGGAAAGTAAGCAGTGATAACTTAGACTTGGAGGATTGGGGAAGTAGAGGGTGCTCCCCCCCTTTTTAAAAAAAAATGGAACACTTCATGAATTTGCATGTTATCCTTGTGCAGGGGCCATGCTAATCTCTGTATCATTCCAATTTTAGTATATGTGCTGCTGAAGTGAGCACACCCCACCTTTTTTTTTAAACCAATACTGGCTAGTCCTCAGTACATGCTTTGGAATGATGAAGTAAGTGAACCAGAGACCATCCTTTACTCATTGTCAGGCGCTGAAACGTGTGAGTTTCATTGTGCAGTAAGATTTGTAATGTTCCAGTCATCAGTGACTAGTTTTATTTATTTAATAGACGTTAATACTTACCATGCGTTAGACACTCTTGTAAACACTTTGCAAATATTAACTCCTTAGTCCTACAAGGTAGGAACAGTTATGATCTCATGTTACACAGAAGGAAACTGAGGCACAGAGAGATTCAGCCACCCAGTGACTGAGTGGCAGAGCCACGGTCTAACGCCAGCATTCTGGCTCCTGTCCACACTCTTAGGCCTTACACTGGCTGCCTATGTTTTCCGTGCTCGCTCTGCAGTTTTCATTTACCTGTCATTCACACTTTTTGCCTACAAGTAGGTAGAAAGAATTTTTTTCAGCACTAAAATCTTTTACAAACATTTCCTTAAAAGGTTGATGTTTCATTTGCTAATCCTAGAGCCAGAAGGAAAAAAAAATCTCTTTTGGCTCTAATGAGTAAAGGTTGCCTAAGATAGTTCCCTTTGATCAATTCTATATACACAGATTTATGTAAAAAAATAAAAAAGCACTGTAGAGACAAGGCTGTTATGCAAATTGCCACTGCAGCAAAAGCTTCTAAAAGGCCGCCTTTAGAAGGAAGTTGCAGCCGCCACTCCTCTAAGTGCCCTGGTAAGGAGGGCTCTGGGCTCCCTGCTGAGAAATACTGCAGGCAGCTTTGTCCCCAGGCTGCCTGGCGACAGTTCTGGCGCAGCCCAGGAGGGACATAGTGGCAGAGCTCCGCCAGAGCAGTGAGGCTTGCAGGCCACTTGGGTTGGACCGGACATGGGGGAGGGTCACTTTCTCCAGAACTATTTGTCAGCAGTGCTCTGTGCCTCTTTAATTAAGCTGTCCCTGCAGACTGTTTTTCAAGTGTTTTCAACTTTATAGGTTCATTTAAACATTGATACCAGATTGTATATGCACATAAACTCTTTTCTTGTAGGCTAGCTTAACTTTATTTCGGTGTCAGTAAATATGTTTTTCAGTTGCTCAAAAGTAAAGGTTGATAAGAATTGTTTATATTAAATGTAATATTATTGATTTAAATCCATGGAAAGTTGTCTTTTTGAAGTCTTCCCACTGTGAGTGCAAGGCCAGGTGTTGGTAGTTACGTATCAAGAAATTGGGAGTTCGAGATTTGCAGATACTGACTGGTATGTATAAAATAGATAAACAAGATTATACTGTATAGCACAGGGAGCTATATTTGATATCTTATAGTAGCTTATGGTGAAAAAGAATATGAAAATGAATATATGTATATTCACGTATGACTGAAGCAATGTGTTATACACCGGAAATTGACACATTGTAAACTAACTATTCTTCAATAAAAAAAAAGAAGTAAGTTTGTTGAATGTTGCCAGTGTAGCTCATGTTTATTACATTACTTAATATTTTTTACATTACCTCTGTAAGCATTACTAGACCTGTACTGGAGGATAATCAATATGAGGCTCAGAGAGGTTGAGTAATTTGTTTCCAGTCACACAGTGTAGAGCTGAAATTTAAACCCAGGCCAACTCCCCAGACCTCCTTTTCTACTAACAGTACCTTCTTCCTACAGCCTCCCATAGAAGAAACCTATTTTTTTTTTTGTAAATACACAACAGTGTATTTGTCTACACTGTTGAATCGAGAGTAAAACATTATGTTACTAATACAAAGTAGAAGGATTTTTTAAAGACCCCCCCTCCCCGCTCCCGCCCCAAATAGAGATTTAAACTCTGGACTTAGATTGCTGGGCTAAGTGTGATTATGAGCTAATGTTTTTATAGTTTATGCCAGCATTTCAAAAAATCTCTCCCAGGTTCTCATATTTCCTCTAGGATTTGCCACATGTTAGCAATAAAGAAGATGGCTAATTGTGTTTCTTTATTCTTTCTTTGTTTAGGATGTGATAGGCCAGGTTCTGCCTGAAGCAACAACCACAGCATTTGAATGTAAGTCTGGCTCGTACACTTTCTTGACTGTTTCTTTCTGCAGTAATTTTTCAAAGGGTTTATGGGTTGCACTACTTTAGAAACTGACAAAAACAGATTATTTATGGTCATCATATGGTACATTTAAATATTTATAAATTTATGCAAGTTTAATGATGATACTGAACCGAGTAATATTTTCTTATTTAATCATATCTTGGGTGTGCGTATTTCTATAATATAGCTTTAATTACCAACATGACCTTTATCTGCTCTTGCTCCTCGCTGTAATAATATTGTTGGGCAAAATGAAGCGTGTAAACTACCTGTAGGCCAATGATTATTGATTAAAAGATTTTAATCCTTTGCTGCTTTAAAACAGCAACAGAGTAGAGCTTTTAAGTGAACGTTGCCTGGAATAATTCTGTTTTAGTGGGACTTGGCACGGCTTTTCAATGATGTCGGAAACACTTCAGGTCTTGAGCCTTCCCCACACCCCACCAGACCAACTGGCTTGGGGACTGGGGTAAGGACAGCGTGTACTAGAAAACCAGTCCAGGTTGGTCAGGGGCTCAGTGATGTTAAGTCAGTCAGTAGCACAGGGGTCTGGTGTTAAGGATAAAGTAAGTATTTGTAACTGTGGTCCCCGTTTTTTTTTCATGTGGGCCACTTTTCTATGAAGCAGAATGTACCATTTCTCCATATGATTGTATATTTTTTGTTCTAGTTTTTTAAGCAAATGGTTAAAGACAGAGTACAGTATCCTCTCTTTTATTTATGTTCTCTTAGAGGACAGTTTGGCAATCCTTAACAAAATATAAAATGTTCAAAACCTTTGAGCACATCCACTTTTAGGAAACTGTCCAACAGAAATACTACTTACGCATGTGTTGAATGCCCCTCAGCCAAAGTTGTTCATTGGTGGAAGTATTTTTGATAGCAAAAAACAAGAGGTAAGCTAAATGCCTACGGTAGTGGGTTAATTATTTATCCATAGTCTGAAGCATTAAGCAGTGGCTAAAAAGAAAGAGGATTTTAAACATTGACATGGAAATACATTCATGATACATTACTGAATTAAACAAACTATATGTGGTACGATCCCATTTTGTAAAACGTTTAATCCCGCCTCCTCCTTCCAGCTTCGTGTGTGTACTGAGAGACAGGGATCTGAAAAATGCGCCCAGCAGTGCTTTCTGCTGGTTTCCCATGGAAAGTGACTTGGGGCTGGAATGGGGGAAAAGCTGGCTCAATGAGCACACTTGTTACTTTATGTATTTCTCTATTGCTGTTTCCCTATTTGCTGTTGAATATTCTTCAACAATCATCTCCTGGTTTTAAAAGCTACTTGAGTAGAATTCTTACCATAATTAGTATTTTATTAGCCACACTGGACTCCATATACTATTGAAAAATAGGCTGTATATCTGGAATACAAGTGTTGCAAGCTTCTCAGACCCCTTGCGGTAACTCCTTGGGGGTGCCAGGGATTTCATGGACAGTCTGAGAGTTAACATTTGGAGCGCTTCCTGTTGGCAGATGCGGGGTTGAGAGAGTTCCGTGGGTGATCTTGTTTAATTTAACCTTCACAAGGCCCCCAGGAAGTCCTTGGAAGGACAGTTGCTAGCTCCGAGGAGAGGACATCTCTGCTAAGCCACTCGCTCGAGCCTCACGGCTAGTAAGGGGTAAAGAGGAAGTTCTCACGTGTAGGTTCTCAGCCGCAGTTGAGACTTGGTCTGAGAGTTGTCATAATTCTTGAAATCGTGTATTCTGATTGTTTTTAAGCATGGCCAAAAAAAAAAAAGAAAACAACTTGTACTTTGTACTTCCTGCTTTCTGGGTCCCTCACAGTGGCTCGATATGCCTGTGCTGTACTGGCTTCCAGAGCTGGGGTTCATGGGAATGATACCGATCATTTTAGCTATCATCTGTTGATGGCCAGGCGAGGTACTAGATGATTTAGGTGGACTGTTGCTAATCTTGGCAGCAACTCTGCGAGGTAGGGCAGGTATACCTGTGAAGAAACTGAAGCTCAGAAGATTGCTGAAGGTGGTCAGGTAGGAAGCGGTGGAGCCAGTATCTAAACACAGCTCTGTCTGATGTCAAACTTGCACTCTCTAAAACCTAGCGTGTTGAAAGCCTGTGACGTGTGTCAAGTGTAGTTTGCGGCTTACAGTTTATGGGTATGATGGAACAACTCTTGAATAAATAAAACTTTGTTTAAAGAAATATTTGTGGTAACTAACACTGAAAAGTATACTTGAACCTAACAGAAAAAATGTTTAAACTCCTAGGTTTAACTTCCTAGATCGCTTTCCTTTTTTTCCCTCAGCAAGTGCTATACCATCTGCATCCAGACCAGTTTTAGGTGGAAAGATTAAGATAAAAAATACAGAGAGACAAAATAGTGATAGCTGTTTGTTTTTTGTGCTTACATTATCATGTACTTTCTATTACAGACTGAAAATCTTAGACTGGCTGTTTTTCATGATTGTTCTAGGGTGGCCTTATTTTCTGTACCAAAGATCCGCACTAATAAATGAGATCTATGTATAAAAAATAATTGGACAGATGTAGTTTGGAAGCTAATTTACTGAACTTTCTGAGCTCTTTTGGTGGTTTATGATATTTTGAAACAACTCTTGAATAAATAAAACTTTAACCAAAGATATTTATGGTAATAATTTAATACTGCTAAGTGTACCTAACACTAATTGGTTTCTTATACCAAAGAGGTGGTATTACATTTAGTAATTTGAATTAAGCAACAAGAGAAAGGACAGTGTCAAATTCACCTGTTTTACATAAACATAGGGAAAACGAGAGAGTTGAGTAAGTGGAAAAGAGGGGAAAGATCAGGTAACCTTACTGATCATTCAGTTCTGAGAAATGCCATCTCTTCAGTGAAACCTCTGATCCCCCAGGTGTGGTTAATCTCCAGGCACTTTCCTAGAGCAGGTAACCTGTTGGGCCTGCCATCTGGTTGGCTGTGTGGGAGTTCCCCTTCCTCACTAGATGTTGAATGACTTCATGACAGGGACCATCTTTTGTTTCACTCCTGCTCCCCTTAGTACAGTTGGCCCTCTCATTTCCATAGGTTCCATATCCGCCTGATTTGCAGGTGCAGAACCTGGAGATCCCGAGGACCAACATTGTATATAAGGGACTTGATCATCCACAGGTTTTGGTGTCCTGTCCACAGGGGAATCCTGGAGCCAGTCCCTCGTGGATAATGAGGGTTGACTGTTCTTAACTTCGTGCCTTGTAGAAACACTCTTGATGAATAGAATGGAATATTATATATGTCAGTATTTAAAAGAGAACTATAAAATGCATGTAACCTAAAGCTAAGTAAGTAATTTGCTCTTTAAGGATTATTTGTGCAGTTGCCCAGGTGTGGGATATAATTGGTTGGTGGTGGACAATTCAGGCTTCAGCTTCCAATTTTCCCACATTTGACTGGGCCCCCTGTCCCGAGGGGGCAGAGGGTCTGTGGTGGCTCTGTGCTTTCTTATTTCTATCCCTGGGGATGGTGTTTCCAAGGGGGGTTAGAGGTGAATGGGGGAGGGAGGCCCGTTTGTGCCAAAGTTACCTCTTGGACTGATGGCCCTAAATTTCTTTCTACCACTTTTAAATCCTTTTTCTCTTACAACAAAAATACAAATGAATGTACTACTTTTCAGCATACAGTGTCTGATCTTTTTTTTTTAGTTGAGAAGATATAGATGATATTTTTTAAAAATTCAAGCAGTATTGAAATAAAGCAAGAAAAGTCCTCATTTCCCCAATTCACTAGTTAACAGTTTCTTCTCTGTCCTTACAGAATGTTTTTCATACATGATATAAACTATATTGCAACCAGTTTCCTATGCCCCCGCTTAATAGTATATCTTGGGAGTCTTTCCAGCATCAGTGTGCACAAATCAACTTCATTCTTTCGGATGATTACATTATACTTAATTTTATAACTGTGGCTTTATTTAACCTATTGATGGACCAGTTTTAAGTTTAAGTTGTTACCAGTTTTTCAGTAGTATTAGAAAGAAAAAATGCTGCAGTCAACAGCATTGCCTTATGGTTTTCCACATTGTAGAAATGTGTTTGTAGGATAAAATTTCTAGGATTTAGAACTACTGAGACAAAGAGTATCCATACTTTACATTTTAACAGCTGTTTCCATGTTGCTCTTCGAAAGTTAGAACCGGTTTGCATTCCCACAAGCAGTGTTTGAGAACGCCCACTTCCCTCTACTCTCACCAGCTCTGGGTACCAGCAGACTTTAGTTGATGCCAGTTTGATATGTGGAAAAGGATTATTCTATTATTGTTTTATTTTGTGTTTCTTCAATTATAAATGAGCTTGAGCATGTTTTCATTTATATTTTGGTCATTTGTATTTAATTTCTGTGAACTATTTATCACCTTTGCTCATTTTTCTATTAGATTGTCTTTTTGTAGTTGATTTAAGAGCTTTCCAATATTAAGAAAATTGGCCCTTTGTCTTATACATTATAAATCTTCTTGTTTAGTTTATTGCCTTTCCTTTCAGCTTGTTTTGGTCTTTTTTTCCTCTCTTTTTTTCTCCCCCCCATGGAGAAGTTTTAAGTTTTTACATGGTCAGATTTATCCTATTTTCCTTTGTGACTTCTCAGTTTATGTCACGCTTAGAAAGGTCTTCCACATTCCAAGAGGTTGAAAAAACATTCATTCATACTCTCTTTTCTTTCCACTTTAATAGGGTTAAGTAAACATGCACATTAAGTATGTTATAAATATGTATTTGTGTAGATTTTTTTATTTTGTAAAACAGCATGCATTTTTATTACACAGAAGATTTTTAAAAAATTCTTGGGCCATCTTCATTTTATTTTGGTGAAAGGAGGAGTCAGAAGGGGAGCCAACTTTATTTTTCAAGCAGATACTGGTTATTGACTAATTTGTCTTTTCCAAGATGCAGCTAAATTCCGTAACCATAGAATATCTTGTATGTTTGCATGTAGTGGCCTTCCATATGCTGTGGGC